AGCTCGAAATTCAGCTTCTGCACTTGATCTGGCAACCACATCTTGTTTCTTACTTCTCCATGTCACCAAGTTACCGCAAAGAAACATGCAATAACCAGTGGTAGAACGACGGTCAGTCACGGATCCAGCATAATCAGCATCAGTGTAGACTTCTAAAGAGAGATTACCATCACGTCGGAATAACAATCCTTTACCAGGAGTAGCTTTAAGATACTGAAGAATTCTCTCTACTGCCTGCATGTGTTTCTCCTTTGGATCGTGCATAAACTGACTGACAACACTAACAGCATAAGCTAGGTCTGGCCTAGTATGGGCCAGATATATCAATTTTCCAACTAGCCGTTGATATTGTCCTTTATCAACTGGAGGACTCTCCTCTTCAAAGCCTATCTTGTGATTCTGCTCAATAGGAGTATTAGAGGGTTTACACCCGAGCTTCCCTGCTTCTTTGAGAAGATCCAAAACATATTTCCTCTGACTGATAAAAATTCCTTTGCTTGAATGAGCTACTTCTATCCCTAGGAAATATCTTAGTTTCCCAAGGTCTTTGACTTCGAACTCAGAGGCAAGTCGTGTCTGCAGAATCTGTCTCTCCACAAAATCATCACCTGTGATAATAATATCATCAACATATACAAGGAGCACAGTAAGCTTCCCATTTTGGGAGTGCTTGAAGAAAAGAGTGTGATCTCCTTGACTCTGTCTATATCCTAAGGTCATCATAACCTTAGTAAACCTTCCAAACCAAGCACGAGGTGACTGTTTCAATCCATACAAGGCCTTTTTTAATCGACAAACTTTATTTTCCCCCTTCACAGAATCAAAACCAGGCGGGATTTCCATGTAGACTTCTTCTTCTAACTCACCATTGAGGAAAGCATTTTTCACATCAAATTGATTTATATCCCAATTGTAATGGGCAGCAAGGGACAACAAGATTCTCACTGTATTCATCTTTGCAACTGGAGCAAAGGTTTCTTCATAATCAATGCCATAGGTTTGAGTGTAACCTTTGGCGACTAATCGAGCCTTGTATCTCTCAAGAGTGCCATCAGAATTATATTTCAGGGCATAAACCCATCTGCACCCTACTGCTTTCTTTCCGTTGGGTCTATCAATAACCTCCCATGTTTTATTTTTCTCCAACGCATTCATCTCCTCTTGCATGGCTTGAGCCTAATTCCCATCTTTCAAAGCTTCATGTACTGATTTTGGGATTGAAGTAGAATCTAGTGCTGAAACAAAGCTTTTGTGCTGCACAGAAAGATTAGCAGAGGAAACAAAATGGGAGATAGGGTATTGAGTACAAGAGGGACAGGAAGAACAAGTTTTCTTGGAACAAGATCTTTTTCCTTTTCTTAAAGCAATGGGTAAATCATCCGAAGCAGTAGTAATGCGTAAGTCATCAGACGTATTAACATCATGATCAGAAATATGAGATTCAGGACTTACCAGTGGTTCAGACGATTGAGGTTGCTGTTGAGGCAATGTGGGTTGTTTCCTTCTTTGATATACCAATTCAGGTGTTACAATCTTCCGTATCTCTGGTGTATTTGATGTATCACTCATAGGAGGATCAGTCACAGGAGGATCAGACATAGACACATTAGGAACAGGAACAAGAGGAAGAGACACTGACACAGGTGAAGGAGTAGACACTGAAGATTCAAAGAAGGAAGGTGATGAGTCTTCTGGTGAATTATTCTCCCCCTGAAGATGAGGACCTTGGAAAAAGGACTCAGATTCCTGAAATGTAACATCCATAGAAACAAAAAATTTCCGACTTCCAGGGTGATAGCACTTGTAGCCCTTCTTATCAGGAGCATAACCAAGGAAGACACATTTAAGAGCCCTAGGATCCAACTTACTGCGATGCTGTTTATGAATATGAACAAAGACAACACACCCAAACACTCGAGGAGGAAGACTTTGCAAAGTTGGAACAGAAGGAAAAAAAGAAGTCATGGAGTGAATAGGACTTACATGATCGAGAACCCGAGTGGGTAGACGATTGATCAAGAATGCTGCAGTAAGAATGGCATCTCCCCAATAGCATTTGGGTACATGTGTTTGAAACAGTAAGGCACGAGCAACTTCAAGAAGGTGACGATTTTTCCTTTCAGCAACCCCATTTTGTTGAGGGGTGTCTACACAAGTAAGTTCATGAATCATACCTTGATTTTGTATAAATTGGGAAAAAGAGTGATTGACATATTCAGTACCATTATCTGTCCTTAGTCTTTTGATATTTTTACAAAATTGAGTCTCAATCATTTTATAAAATTGAAAGAACAGTTGTGGTACCTCAGACTTTTCACGCATTAAGTAAACCCAAGTGACACGAGTGTAATCATCAATAAAAGAAACAAACCATTTATTTCCAGAAGAATGAGGGACCTTAGAAGGACCCCAAACATCAGAATGAATAAGATCAAAAGGTTCAACACTCTTAGTAATACTAGAAGGAAAAGACACACGATGATGCTTAGCAAATTCACAAACATCACAATGAAAAGACTCAACAGACTTAGACAAAAACAATGACGGGAATAAAGATTTGAGTAAACTAAATGGAGGATGACCCAAACGCTTATGATGCAGCCAAATTAAAGAATCAGCAGTTGATTGACCATGAGACATGAATGTGTGATCTATTACTTTATTTGCGGGAGATTGTGACACCAGATAGTACAGCCCACCTTGCTCTTTAGCACTACCAATCGTCTTCCCCGTGGCGAGATCCTGAAAAACACAATGGGTAGGGAAGAAGGTTACAGTACAATTCAAATCTTTTGTAATTTTGTGAATAGAAAGAAGATTCGTGGAGAGTTTAGGAACATGAAGAACATCCTTAAGATGTAAGGACTGCTGTAAGTTTATGTCACCAGAACCTGCAACTGATGTATGTGAGCCATCAGCTATGGATATTGTATGAGTTCCAATGGTAGGATGATAAGAAATAAAGGAGTCAGCACAACAAGCCATATGATCAGTAGCACCAGAATCAACAACCCAATAATGTTTAAAATCATTACATGAAGAAATGAAAGAATGAGTTTTGGAGCTCATACCAGTCATAGCCAAAGCACTAGTATCAGATGGCTTACTCAGATAATCAAGAATGGTTCGGAGTCGTTCCAACTCATCTGGACGAAATGCAGATTGGGTCTCATTAGGTGCAGGGGTTATTTCAGAAGAAGTAAAATGCGCTTGACCACGCATCCTTGCCATCTTTTCTAAGACAGTTTGCTTTCCATAAAGGCGAAAGCATAAATCCTTGATATGACCTGTTCTTTTACAATAAGAACAACATCGATCATTTCTCTTAGGTCTAGAAGAGGTACCATCATAAAATTTTGAAAAAGAACTCATTTGAGAAGAGGCCATACTGCACAGCAAATGGTCAAAGAAAAGCTCCAAGAATCCACAAAATCACAAACAAATACTAAACAACGTCAGATCTGACCGGAACAGTAACACAGCGGCCGAAACAGTAACACAGTGACCGGAACAAATACCAAACAACGTCAGATCTGGTCGGAGGCAAGAAATTGGTGAAAAAACAAACTCCAAGAAGCCAAGAAATTCTGAAAAAAATACCAAACGATGTCCGATCAAAGTAGAGAGCACAGATCAAGAACCGGCTTGGAGAGACGATCAGAACCGTGGTGGTCCGCGGCCGAGAACCACCGTCACGCGCCGGTGAAGCTGGCGGCGCGTGGGATTCACGCGCAGAGACAAGGGCGGCGCGTGGAGGCGCGTCTGACCTCCGATGGTGCTGGGTTTTTCAGGCGAAGGTCGTCCGGCGAGCGCGATGGTTTCTGTGGCTGTTCGGAGTGAAGAATCCACCGGAAAAATGTTCCAATCGCGATGAACAGGTTCTGTACGGTGGTTCTGTACGTTGATTCTGTGAACGTTTGTTTCTGGTTGTGTAATAGACAAGAAAAAGAAAGAGGAACAGTGAAGCAATGGTCTTCTCGGTCCAAGAGGTCCCCAGAAAAAATTTTCCGGTGGCGGCTGATGGCTGCGAGAGACGTAAAAAAGAATAGAAAGGTTTCGTAGGCGCGGAAGCAGAGCCCTCAGGATCGAGAGCTCTGATACCAACTTGCAAAAGGGTATTCTAATATATTATAGAATTGTGAATTAATATGATACAAAGAGGTCTCTATTTATAGAGACCAAAAACCCTAATTCTTGACCTAATGGGCTTGGCCCAATACAACAAATACTAATAATAATAAAAGACCTAATATTTACAACACAAATTATTCTTTGTCTCATGAGGTTTGCATTTTTTGATTAATTATTTGATATCAATTTATTTCATATATGCCAACCTATGCAGCTTTTCTTTATTTTACACTTACAGCTACCCAAACTGATTTCAATGTTTTTCTTCCTTTAGGCCGAAGGTCAGAGATTAAATGACAGAGTGGAAGTTGTTACCCTAAAGCCATGTATTCTAAGAATGGTTGAAGGTAGGTGAATCCTGCATACTTATCTTCCAGCATCAACTACCATTTGTGTCACGTTTTCATGTGTATTTAGTTGAATCTACCATTTGTAGGTATATTTTCGCAACTGCAATGTACTTTATATTATTATATTTTAGAAAAAAGGACAATAAGCGTATAGGTCTATGGGGGGTGTAGATGCAGTGCAAATTATTCATTGAAAAAAGTAAAGCCCTTGTTTATACTTAAAAGTCTAACTGAATAACTAAGGGAGTGTATATATAATGAAATTTTGTTTTTAGTCCTGGGTAGTGATGGGGTTTCATCATTTGGTATCTTTAGAAATTTGAAGTAGCAAATAAATGAATAAATTAGTTAAACTTGTTTTTTTTATGTTTTTTTATTAGGCTTGTGCATAATAACCGGTGCACTATAACCAGTTATGGAACCGACCCGCATTAAATAAAAATAACCAGTTTTTTTAAATTGGTTCAGAAAATTGAACCACTTCTATTATTTAAATTAATCCAATTAAGACCCATTTCAAAACTGATTTTAAATCAGGTCGACCCAAACCAACCCGTTTACATGACACGACTCATCGACCATCGTTCCTAATCGAATCATATTTTTCTTCACTGTTCATAGCTCATCGTTCCCAATCGAACCCTAATTTCACAGTTCACCATCTAAATCATTTCTCTTCAGTCTCACTCTTCATTTCTCCTCCTCCTCTCTCCTCTTCAGCTCATGAACTCAGTTCACCATCGATTAATAATTCAAATGTTTGTGTTGTGAAAGAGGGGTTCGGTTTTTCGAGTTAGGCTAGTGAAGAGGGGTTCGGTTTTGAAAAGCGACGGTCGGAGATTGAGTTGAGGAATAGAAGGAGGCAGTGATTTTGTGAAGAAACGTTCCGTAGGTAATAATTATTTTGAGAACTTCTTCAGTTAAATCATGTTTGTTTTTATGTCTTACTCTCTTCCCCTTATTTTGTGATTTTGTTGGACTCTGTAATGTTTTAAGTTGCATGAGGGTATGTTGTTTATAATTCAGATATTCCTTAGAGTTTCTGAATCAGTTGTGGTCTGAATGTTCCTTTCTGTTGTATTCTCCTAGTTCTAATGATGTGGATTTATAAGTGGTATCTTAACCTTACACAAAGGTTGCATAAATTTTGGGGTTAGCCCAACAGTGGAAACTCGTTATTATAGCTTATCAAAGGAACAAGATGAAACTTACAATGATTGGAATCCGATTTTTTATTTTATTTTATTTTTTTTCCTTTTCATTTATCTTTATGAAACTTATATTAATATGCTGTTGCACTTGCTTGTTAGTTGGGGTTGTCCAAAAAAGTGGCAAGGGCACATGGGTAGCCATGTTAGGTAATAAATAATTTGGAGAAGTTTGACATGGTTTTCCATTACTCAAATGGAGTACTACAAAGCAAAGGATATCCTACACTTTGTCCTACATTTGAATTTTGTGCTTCTTTGTCCTACATTTGTGAGTTCTTTTTGTGTTTTTTTCTCCTACACTTATTTTGGATTATTATTTCGGGAACATCATATTCGGACTGGCTGTGGTTCTGTATCTGTCATAGTCTATGGGGATCATGACAAACCAGCTCTGATCACTTCTCCAGATTTAGCACTTAATCGTAAGTGGAGTCAATTCATTTTGCTTCCACTTGTTGTGTTAATTTGTTGTTTGATTTGATTATTGTACTTTTTTGAAATATGACAATTATTAATCCAAAATTGACTTCGTGTTTTTTAGAAGTTCGGTGAAAATAGTTAGTAGAATCCAGCTTCACCTGCTACATGATGTAATGTAAAACTAACTTGTTAGTTTCGTTGTTGCTTCTGCAGTTTTACTGGTTCAAGCGGTGATAGACTGATAGGATAGTTTTTGACATTTTGTAATGAACATGCTTGCTGCTGTAGTGAACCTCAGCGATTATTGGTATTGGGGCGTTTATTCATCTAACCCCCTTCCATTTTTCAGTTTCAAATATTGCCTCTACTACTTGTGCCTTCAGAGTTTCTAAGGCTTATGTTAAAATTCAGACCTATTTGAAAAAATCCTGCTTGCTTTTATTTTATACAAACTGCATTATCCTTTTTTGCCTACTTAAAGAAGCTGCCATACAAATTAATAATTATGGTATCTGTATCTCAGAAATCCTGATTTATTTTATTTTATTTTAATTATTTTGTGTGGGTCGTTTGGGTAAATGGTTATTGTTTTATTAACAGAAACGTTACTCAGTTCCAGATCTCAAATAGAGAACTTTATTTATTGTTTGGATTCTAACTTATTTTTCTGTTGTATTTCTTTACATGCTTGTTCTAGTCAGCTTCTGCCTTTGCACCAATAGCAAATCCTACAAATTGTCCTTGGGGAGAGAAGGCATTCACTTGCGATAGTTATAGTTCTGCAAATAGAGGAGGTAAATTCTCATTATTTTTGCTTTGAATTCGGAACGGAACAATTTGATGTTTGTTTTGTGTTTGTTGATGTACCTGAAACATGTATTAATCCTGATTTTAAACGAATTTCATGCATGTTATGTCAGTGAGTACTGAGCAACGAATCACTCTGAAATCTTTTATGTAATTTTAAGCATTTCTTTCATTAATTTCTGCTCTCTTGCTCATCATTCTGTTTAAGGCTTCTCTTGCTGTAATCTTCTTACTTAATAGTCTAATTTGGATTGCGTAATGTAAGTGCTTAATCTGCGCTGTTTTGGATAATAAAATTAATTAAGGTATCAAAATTGTATGGTGCTCTACACCTTGAACACCTGATCCCCATATATTTTTTTTTTCAGAGATGGTTTCCCAACAAGATGCTACCTGTTCGACCTCAGTTGCCCTTAATATTGATTGACTATTGTGTATTTTCAGTTGAATTGTGCTTCAAAAATTAGTTGTACTTTCGGTTTCTATTTTGATGATTTTGTTAAGCTACTATGGTTGGTTTTATGATTGGTTAGTACTATTGTGTATTTTCAGTTGAATTATGGCTGCAAGTGACTTAGAATCTACCCTTTTGTTTATTGATTTTATCCTAGCTACAAGATATTCTGAAAGCCTACTCCTTGATTTTAGCTTGATTGTAGCATGTGTCACTATTCTACTATTATCAGCCACTACATGAGAATTTTGGTCTCTCTGCAATGTGGGCTGTGATGACTGTGGTGGTAGTTTTTGAGTACACTGTTGGTAAGTTTGTGCATATTTGTATCTGGATTTCGTGAATAAAGTTAGAAACACTTGGTGACTTCTTAGAAGGTTAGATGATTTAAGAAAAATCACGTGAATAAAGTTATATAAATTGCGTTTACCACTACATGCAGCAGAGCTTGCTCTTTGATGATAGTTTGAAGGTAACTTTGATCCAGTGCTTCCTCTTTCTTTTAAACTGTAGTTGATAGCCCTGGTTCAGAACCAGTTATAAGATTTGTGCAACCTTACCGTTTGCTGTGAAACATAGCACAATTGAACATTGCTTCTGATACTTTTACATTAACCAAAAATCCTAGTCAATATTGCATCACTTTGTTATATTTCAGTGAATAACTATTATTGTCTGCAAATTCTATTATGATATTATTTCTTGTCCGACATTTGTTGTGCGGCATTGAAAAATTTATATATATAGTACTGATGATCTAAAGATGACTGCTGGCAATCACTACTTGAGTTTGCCTGTTAACTCAGATTGTAAAATATGACAAATCTGTGTATCCCGTGTCTTGCCTTGACTATGCTTCATTCATTTTCATATTATATGTAAAGAACTGAAAATTGTTCATATATATTTATATGCATGAATGAAATAAACTTCTTTTTTTAATTTCATACATGATTAATATTATTTTATTCCTCTATACAGGGCTTCTCAGGCAGCCAAAGTGGGGTCATCTGAAGGATTTGCACAGAGCAATAAAACTCTGTGAACCTGCTTTGGTATCTGGAGATCAAACGTTAAGCAAACACAAAAAACTATGTTGATGAAGGGCTATATAAACAAGGGGGGCTATATAATCAAGTATAAGTGGGTAGTGTGATCGTCCTAGTGTTAGTAGTGAGCAAATCTATACCACCGCAATTAAATGCTCTCCTTACTATCAGTATGCATCCAAATAGCCAAAAAAATGCGAAGCATCTTCCGGTTAGTGTTTCGAATGATAAATCTCCATATCCAGCTGTGGAGATAGATACCATGGTGAGATAGAAACTATCAATCACAAGAATTGGGATTATCATTCATGGCTTTAGGGATTATCATTCTCTGGATTGCTTTAGGACTAATTGGAGTGCATTATTTTGAGCACAAGAATTGGGTCGATAGTTTCTATCTCACCATGGTATCTATCTCCACAGTTGGATATGGAGATTTCTCATTCGAAACACTAACCGGAAGATGCTTCACATTTTTTTGGCTATTTGGATGCACATACTGATAGTAAGGAGAGCATTTAATTGCGGTGGTATAGATTTGCTCACTACTAACACTAGGACGATCACACTACCCACTTATACTTGATTATATAGCCCCCCTTGTTTATATAGCCCTTCATCAACATAGTTTTTTGTGTTTGCTTAACGTTTGATTCCCCTCTACTCCATCCCATTGGTGGTCAGTCTTGGAGTTCATATTTTGGTTAAAAATGAATTGTTAATCTTTATTGATTCACTGATATCCTTTATATACATCACTATACTACATCAGGATACAGGAGATTATAGCTTAAGAGTAGTAACTGAAAAGAAAACTAACTAACTACTCAACAGCTGTACAAACAGAAAAGCCAGGTGGCATAACAGAAAAGCCAGGTGGCTTTGAGTGAATAAATTGAACTGATTGCTGAGTGGAAGATGTGGGCCGGACTTGAGTCTTGGGTCTTGTGGGCTTGACTAAGTCTTGTGTTGTATGATCTAATACCCCCCCACAAACTGGGCTATGAATGTCATGAATGCCCAGTTTGGAGAGGAGTGTCCGAAACAGCAGAGGAGACAAAGGTTTTGTAAAGAAATCAGCTAGCTGAGCATCAGAAGAGATTGGCAGCAAATGCAACAATCCAGAAAGGATTTTCTCTCGAGTGACGTGGCAATCAATCTCGATATGCTTTGATCTTTCGTGGAAAATGGGATTGTGAGCAAGAGCAATGGCTGATCTGCTGTCACAATATACAGATGCAGGGCGAGTCCAGGGAACGCCTAAGTCACGAAGAAGAAACTGTAGCCATTGCAATTCACAGGTTAAGCTAGCTAAGGCACGGTACTCAGCTTCAGAAGAAGAACGAGATACTGTAGCCTGTTTCTTAGATCGCCAAGAAACCAATGAATTTCCTAAGTAGACACAATAACCTGTGATGGACTTGCGAGATTCAGGACACGATCCCCAGTCAGAATCAGCAAAAGCACGAATGCTGATATCGTTTGAGGCAGGAAAGAATAATCCGGCAGCTGGAGACCCCTTCAAGTAACGTAACACACGATGAGCTGCTTGTAAGTGAGTGTCCATAGGCTGAGACACAAACTGACTGAGACGATTAACCGAAAAGGAGATGTCTGGTCGTGTGGTTGTAAGATAGAGTAGCTTTCCTATCAATCGTCTGTAGGCAGTAGGATCAGCAAGAGGAGAACCATCAGTGGAAGTCAGTGTCAAAGAAGAATCCATAGGGGTAGAGACTGGTTTGGCTCCAAGGAACCCTGAATCTGCCAAAATTTCCAGTGTGTATTTCCTTTGATTGATAGTGAGACCAGTTGAAGAGCGAGCAATCTCTAGACCAAGGAAATAACGCAGGGAACCAAGAACCTTGATCTTAAATTGAGCATCCAAGTAGGCTTTAACTTGATGAATTTCATTAAGATCATTCCCACATAAGACTAGATCATCAACATAAACCAGCAAGGCTGTAAATGAGGATCCACGAGAAACAGTGAATAAGGAATGATCAGAATGAGATTGACTATAACCAAGAGAAAACAGTGCCATTGAGAGTTTGGAATGCCACTGACGGCTAGCCTGTTTAAGACCATACAAGGACTTCTGCAAACGGCAAACCTGACTTGGTCGAGAGCAAGAGAGTCCAGGAGGTGGAACCATATACACTTCCTCATGGAGATCACCATGGAGGAAGGCATTATTTACATCAAGCTGTTGGAGATGCCATCCTCTAGCCACTGCAACTGAGATGAGGACCCGAATAGTAGAAGCCTTGGCCACAGGGGAGAAGGTGTCAAAATAGTCAACACCTTCAAGTTGAGTGAAGCCTTTGGCAACTAGCCGTGCCTTGTACCTCTCAATGGAGCCATTGGCATGATATTTGATTTTAAAAACCCATTTGCAACCAATGGGATTTTTACCAGGGGGCAGATCAACAAGTGACCAAGTCTTGTTATGCTCAAGTGCTGCTAACTCAGATTGCATTGCTGCAAGCCATTGTGGGTGTTTACTGGCTTGGTTAAAGGTCTGAGGCTCAGAATTAACAGAGGCATTAAGGCAAAAATGTTTATACATAGGAGAACAATGTGAGTAAGAAATAACTTTAGATAAGGAATGTGGTGTGGAAGAAAGGAGAGAAGGTATACCTGAATGAGACTGGTTAAGATGTGCAGCAAGTAGCCCAACATGATAGTCTTGAAGATATTGTGGGGCTTGTCTGGATCGGGTTGATCTGCGAGCAGGATGAATGATGTCTGATGATGGAATGGCTAATGCTGGAGCATCAGAATTGATGCCAGGTGGGGGAATGGTTAATGTTGGTGCATGAGAATGGATGCCAGGTGGGGTTAAGGTGAAATTTTGGGTAGCAGGATTGATGACATCTGGTATGAGAGAGGGTGGAGAAGTGGCATTTGTCGGGGAGAGATCATAAGTAGGGAAAAAAGGGGTAGTAGTGGGAATGGGGGATATGATGGTATTATGAAATGGAAAATGTTCTTCAAAAAATATGACATTCCTTGATGTGTGAATTTGATGGGTAAGCAAGTCATATACAATATAACCTTTGGTGCCTGGTTTATAACCAATAAAGGCACATTTGTGGGATCTAGGTGAAAATTTGGTACGATGAGCAGATAAGGTTGAAGCAAAGCATAGGCAACCGAATGTACGTAAATGGTCAAATGTGGGTGGTTTATCATGTAATGTTTGATAAGGTGTTGAGTGGTTGAGTAAAGGTGTGGATAATCTGTTGATGATGTGGGTAGCATGCAAAATGGTATAAGGCCAAAGGGAAGATGGAAGCTTGGCTTGAAAGAAAAGTGAGCGAGCCACATTTAATAAGTGTTGGTGTTTCCTCTCCACAACACCATTTTGTTGTGGAGTTTCTACACAAGTAGTTTGATGGATGATACCTTTGCTTAGGTAAAAGTCATTCATTTTGAATTCATTTCCGTTGTCTGTTCGAATGATTTTCAGAGATGTGTTATATTGATTTGTAATGAGGGCAATGAAATTAAGAAGATGCTGTCGAGTTTCACTTTTGGTCTTCATAAGTATTACCCAAGTGAACTTGGAAAAATCATCTACTAGAGTTAAAAAGTATTTTTCACCATGAATTGAAGGCAAGGAGCATGGCCCCCAAATATCAGCATGCAGTAAGTCAAAAGGTTTATTTGATCTGGTATGGCTAGGTACAAAATATAGTTTCTTCTGTTTGGCTAGGAAACATACATCACAAGGGTGTGTAAAATCTTTACAAGGAATATAGGGGAAACAATTGGACATTTGCTGCATTACTTGTTGAGAGGGATGGCCAAGTCTATGATGCCATAGAATTGCAGCTTTGTCATTATTTATAGGCTTTGAGACAACATTGCAGTGGGTTCTAGGTTGAGTCTTGGGTCTTTTGGAGTCTTCAGAAACTATCACATATAGGCTATTTTGTTGCTCAGCTAAACCAGTCTTCATGCTGGTATGGGGCTGTTGCAGAAAACAAGATGAACCATGAAATATTAGTGAACAATTGGTATTTTGCAAAAGTTTGCTAACAGAAACTAAATTGACTGAAAAGTTGGGAACATATAAAACATTTGAAAGAGTTAATTGAGGAGAAATGTGAATGGTTCCAGAATGTGTTGCCAACACATGATGGCCATCTGGTAACATAACAGAGATAGGTTTGATTTTCTGTAAAGATGAGTATTCGGATAATTCATGAGATATATGATCAGTGGCTCCTGTATCAAGGAGCCACTTGATGTGAGATTTACCTGGTTGGTTCATGACATTAGGAATATCTGTTTCTACCTGTGCAGCAGAAACTTGAGCAAGGTTTGTGGAATGTGAATTAACATTGGTATGTTGTGGAAGTGTTTGCAGAAGGGAATTGGCATTGGCATCTTGTGGATGTGTTTGCAGAAGATGTAGTATCTGATGGTATTGGTCATGTGACAAGGTAGAAGGTAGTGTCTGATGATATTGATCATGTGGTAGGGTAGCAGAATTATTTGGAGCTTGTTGTAAGTTTTCCTGGTGAATGCCTTCATATGAGATTTCAACATAGTTAGCATTGTGATTGAGTCTGTTCCTGTATCCTGGTGGAAAACCATGCTTATGATAGCAGGTTTCCACTGTGTGATTGTTACGGCCACAGTATGTGCATAGCTTACCACCATTGTTTTGTGCTCTTCCATAGATATTTCCAAAGTTACCACCATTGTTTGGTCCTCTTCCAAAAGTATTTCCAAAACTATTTCCAAAATTATTTCCACGGCCACGTCCTCTTCCATAATTGCCTCCTCTATGAAAAACTTGAGTAGCAGCATTAGCAAATGAGTTAACTACATCTGTGGATGGTTCAAGAGTATTACCTCCTAGGAGCTGTCTTTCTTGCTGGCTTACCAAGGAGAAAACTCGATTTACATTAGGAAGAGGATCGATCAACATAATTTGTGATCTCACCTGTCCATATTGATCATTTAGACCTCTGAGAAACCTAATCACATAGTCACTCTCTCTGTATGTTCTTGGAAGTGTGACAACTCCACAAGTACAAGCAACATCACATCTACAACTTGGCAGTGGCCTCAAATTCT